GAATAACCCGAGATCACCTGGCCTTCACTGTGAATGTCTAAAATACCACCTGCATGGATGACACACATGCCTTAAGGCACAACAGGAGGATCTTCTTTCCCATCGCTGAACTGCACTGTAAATAAGCAAAAGGAAAACTATACTCCAACAGATCTCAGCAGCTAGCTTGCACAAGGTAGTAATAGCAGTTAATCCCTCATATTAATCCAAATGTTTCTCTAGATAGCAGAGGAAAAGTCAGAAGGTGACTAAGAGCTGCTAACTGAAAATCAAATCGTTCAGTATATTGAACAAACAAAAGGAACTGGGATCTGTAAGTGGAACAGCCTCCACCAGCATCCAGGGGGGCATTTTGTATGCTGGGTTGAATAAATCTTGGACACTGCTACCAGCAGCAACATTTTTACAGGCTTATCAACTTTTAAGGTGGGGTTCTTTTTAAATTTAAGTAATTTTAGTATCCTGATACCCAGGTACCTATTGATCTGAGCATTACCATTCTGCTGCTTTCAAACACCATGGCAGTTTTGCTAATTAAAACCTACAAGTGAAGACATAATGACAGCCTATGGAGGCATGCAACAATTAGTCTTTCCTACCAATGCACTCCTTCTGCAATGAAATACAGTAGCAGCTAAAGGCACTCCCACGGTTCCAATCCTTGGCAAGCTACCTTCACTTAGAAAAGTGAATAATTAAGGTTTCTCCTCAAAAACAATCACTCTGGTGACAAATTTGTGCCATTAACTAAAGAGCTGAGGTTATTTTGACAAATCCATGATGGAGACTGGCCCACCACAAGCAAGGATAGGGAATGAAGAGTCCCAAATTCTGCCCCTTGGTGTAAACGTGAACTCCATTTGCTGGACAGCATATAAAAGCCACCAGTAGACTTTCATGCTCAGTGAGCCTGCTCATTGCAGATGCGATCTCATGCAATCTGAGTTTACACACTTATAAAAAAGTGTACTATAGTCTAAGAGCTGTTGCTATGATGCTATGAGTACAACTAAGCTGATGAAGAGGTTTTGTTTCTAGCTGCTGTTGTTCTCCATCTGTGACAGATCTCCCAGGCTAAATACACATATGGTTGTTTCCTAATCCAGTTCTGTCAAGCGATGCTGGTTAGCCAGACACACAGATATGCAAATAAAGCTGCTGGCAGCAGCTCTGAATGATACCACTCTTAATTCAGCCCACTAGTTCCTAGTTTTGCCCGTTTAAACTGGTTGTAATTTACTTGTGCTTTAATATGCATCTGATCAATGAGCAAGGTTAGAAAAAAGCCTCACTTGTTCTGCATGATGGTCATTATGAAGGATCTGATCCATCATGGAGAACAAGTGAAGCTTTTTTCTAGCCTTGGTAATTTTATTTTTAAACACATGCATTCTTTATGTATGCATATATATAGCATTAATATGTATGCTGCATATGTATATAATATAGATAAAAATACTTTTGCAAGTTGATTAGTGTATAGATGAGAAAAACCATACCTAATCGATAGCAGGAAGAGGCAGAAGCAAACAGATGAGAATAACAAATTACCCTGTATTTCCTTGTACAGCAAGTGTCAGAATCATGCCTTTAACTACTAAATAAAAAGACCTTTTAATTCAAATCACTCAAATGGAGAGAGCTGTACATAGAATCATATAGGTTGGAAAAGATCGAGTCCAACTGTTAACCAAGCACTGCCAAGCCCACCACTAAACTATGTCCCTAAGCACCACATCTACACATATTTTAACTACCTCCAGGGATGGTGACTCAACCCCTTCCCTGGGCAGCCTGTTCCAGTGCTTGATAACCTTTTCAGTGAAAAAATTTTTCCTAATATCCAATCTAAACCTCCCCTGGGGCAACTTGAGGCCATTTCCTCTTGTCCTATCACTTGTTACTTGGGAGAAAAGTCCAACACCCACCTCACTAGAACCTCCCTTCAGGTAGCTGTAGAGAGTGATAATGTCTCCCCTCAGCCTCCTTTTCTACAGGCTGAACAACCCCAATTCCCTCAGTTACTCCTCATAAGACCTGTGCTCTGGACCCTTCCCCAGCTTCATTACCCTTCTTTGGACCTGCTCCAGCACCTCAATGTCCTTCTTGTAGTGAGGCGCCCACAACTGCACACAGTATCATCAGGGCCAAGTACAGGGGCACAATCACATCTCTAGTCCTGGTGGCCACACTGTTTCTGATACAGGCCAGGATGCCGTTGGCCTTCTTGGCCACCTGGGCACACTGCTGACTCGTATTCAGCTGGCTGTTGGCCAACACCAAGGTCCTTTTCTGCCAGGCAGCTTTCCAGACACTCTTCCCCAAGCCTCTAGCGTTGCAGGGGGTTGTTGAGAGTCAAGTGCAGGACCCAGCATTTGGATTTGTTGAATCTCATACAATTGGCCTTGGGCCATCAATCCAGCCTGTCCAGATCCCTCTGTAGAGCCTTCCTACCCTCAAGAAGATCAACACTCCTGCCCAGTCTGGTATCGTCTGCAAACTTGCTGAGGGTGCACTCAATCCCCTCATCCAGATCATTGACAAAGACATTAGACAGACCTGGCCCCAGTACTGAACGCTGGGGACTGCCACTTGTGACCAGCTGCCAACTGGGCTTAACTCCATTCACCACAACTCTTCGGGCCTGGCCATCCATCCAGGTTTTACCCAGCCAAGAATACACCCGCACAAGCCGTGAGCAGCCAGTTTCTCTGGGAGAATGCTGACTCAACAGGGAGATAACCCAAACTTAGCCACTATTACACTAGAACTGCTGAATACAACTACAAACACATTGGAAAAGACCCTGCTCACAAGTGGTATGAATATCTCTCAAGAGCAATACTACTTCAAAGATGTGAACAAACAAGTTCACCTACCCACCTTGCTTCAATAGCACACAAGGTTACTATAGGACACAGAATATAAGAAAACTCCTACAGTTATTTTGAGTTCAAGGACTTCCTGAGCCAGATGTGCTTTCTGTGTATTCACTAAGTCACAATGAATTTCCTGCTCTTGAATTTATCCAGTTTGTTTGAACCTGCATCAGTTTTCAGCTTCCACATAATTTTTTGGCTACAAGTTCCACCAGCATACTGCCCACTGAGTAGGAAGCTCCTCTTCCCCCTTCACCATTCAAAATATTGTCGAAAAAAAGAACAAAGTTTAAGTGTGTTCCTACAATTATGAGTTTTGACAGAAACCTTTGAGGTTTTAAAGGCACTGCTTAGAAGTGATCAAAACAGCATTAGAAATTAATAAATAAAATAAGATTTAATTTTGTTTTAAAACTACTACTAGCAGCAACTTTCAAGTCTGTGTATGGTAAAAGTTTCTATAGAACATGTTAGCAGTTGCTAAGTGGTGCAGTTATTAGTCACTTTCAATGTACATACAAGCAAGTAGTACACCTATTTATCCTGGATTAGATAAGGAAAGAAACTCCTCCCTCCCATAGATCCTACTGTTCTTTTTCTCAAAAGCCTAGGACTAGTCAGAGACCACTGATTTGCTGTCAGGACATGTTGCCAGATTTAATTACAAGCTGAATAGAGATATCAAAGAGACAGATCCCAAATAACTTGCTGTCCCTCCTTTTCATTAGGAGTTCCCTAAAGCTATTTTAATAGCACAGAAGGCATCCATTTCTTTATACCATTGGGTTTTATCACCAGAACTATAAGAGCATTAAGACAAGTCAGAGTTCCAGGGAGTTCTGCTAGATACTGGAGACCAAATCAGCACCTCCCTCCTTCTACTGCCCCCAGGTTGATTACTGTGCAGATAACAGAACTGGCTATTACAAAGCAAGTTGACCTTGCAAAACACAAGTGGTAGAACCTTTTGGCAGCAGGTCAAAGAAACTTTCCTTATTTCCATAAGTATTCACTAGTTAGATTTATGAACCATTGTCTGATCATTAGCCACCAGCTCTATATTGCTTTTCCATGTACATGCATTTAAATGCACCACTTAGTACAGAGGATACCCCGTTCTTTCCTGCTGCACATGCTTAACATTTTTGAATTAAATTTCAGAACCAGAAAACTCCATTTAAGAGAGTTCCGACTGCTAAGTGAAAGGGACCCAATTGCTTATTGCATCCTTTACAAAGCATGGGAACTTGCCTGAAAAGCAATAAAGCTTAATTTTTTAGGAAAAAAAAAAAAAAGAAAAAACAACCGTCAGCTACAAAGGATCATTACTTCTATTGGAGTATATACAATTTGTCTGCAGATCAAACACTCTGGATAGAAAAGCAATATCAAAACATCAGATCTCACAAAATGGAAAGAAGCCAAGTTGGCTCCAGGAATTTTTTTTTTTAAAGGGAGGTGCTTTTAATTGGCACAGAAGCTACATAGGACTGACTTCCTAAGAATAATATACAACAGTCAGTTAGACAAGTTCATAAAAAGGGTATTTTGGAACTTGGGATTGATCAGTCTGTAACCAACATCTATGCCCACAGCCCAAGCAGGCAGTGATGGCAGTCATGGGGGATCCCATTTAGTGAGAGGTCTCTGTAGGGCCTAACACTTAGCCTGCAGTAGCCAATCTATTATCACTTCAGGAAGTACAACATGTCAAAGTCACTACAAACTATTACCGCTACTGTGTTCTCATGATATATAGAACTATTATTGAGAAACTTGTTTTATATTGCCAGTGCAATTTTAGAATTTTATTTTTCTTGATCTTACATATTATCATAAGACAGACATTGAAGATGTTATAGAAATTAACTCATGAGTGAAGAAAACATTTTAATAAAAAAAAAAACCACAACAGGCAGCTCACAGACATACTGGTTCAGTGTAAAGTAATAAGAAAACCTGTGTTATCTTACATGTACTTGAGAGTCCATATTGCTCAACAACTTCAGAAGTAGCTATTTGGACCCTTCTCCAGAGATAAAAAGTATTGGTCAGAATCTAATAGGAGACTTGAGTTCTTTAGCAGGTTTCCTGGCAGATGGGGAATGGTTTATGGCTTACAGGGAACATGGCTCTTGCCAAGACCTCATGACTGCAGAGGGCAAATGGTATCAGGTGTTTTTGTTCTGTAGAAGACAGCTAATATATCCAGAAGAGCCAAAAGCCCTTTGTGAGAGCCATTTATGAGGTTAGGAAGAATATATGCCTCTATATGCTTTACATATGCATTCAATACATATATGCTTCAATGCAGTACTTTTATAAATAAGTAAACAGTTTTCACCATAAAGGTCAAAATTTACTTTATTACAAAAACAGAGGCAGAATTTCAGAAGTTGTTAGGGCAGACCCCAATCCACCTGTTCAAAAGAAGGGCCAAGGGTTTCTTTAAGGACATGGGAAGGAGTACCGCACACACCAATTCCCATTGAGGGCACAACAATGCAAAATCACAAGTTTAAGAGGCATGTTAGGTGAAACAAACAAAAAATCCCTGTAACTCTGTGACTTATGGTTTTGGTTTAAAAAAAAACAAACATCATCACTGCCTGAAATACTCTAAAACTGGGGAAATCCCTAGATATCCTGAAATTGTTTTGCTGAATAAGAGATACCAAACAAGCTGTTCTTGGTAGCACAAGCCTTTAGCACAGCAGACAGTGTTCTTTTGTGAGCTTTGTGCATTTGCTGCAAAAAGACTTCTTTGTTCCTGCTTGGTTTCTCTTCTGCTTTACCTGGGGTAGTATGCTGTGTAGTTCATGAAGAGCTGAGCCCCAGCAGGGTAGTACGCTGTGGAGGGCTGGAGTGTTCGTGGGTTCAGGAGCATGGATGGCTGATACAGAGCAGCTTCTGTTGGCACAACTGCAGCAGGAGCCGGAAAGGAGTAGGAAGGGGGTGAAAGGCCTAAAGGGAAGAAATAGAAGATAGACTAAGACTTTTTGAATTCCAGCATATATATATATATTCTTCATTAGCTGAACAACTCTGTAGTAAGTAAAGAGCCTTCACAAGCTTCTCTCTCTTGCTCATCACAGAAAATAAATCTGAGCCACTAACGTGAGCTTGACTACAAGCGTTGTGCCCATGCCCCCAGACAAAAGCAGTCAGGAATACACAAAGACACCTCTTGCTCTGGGAACAGGATCTCCTTCTGAAGAGGAGGCCATTTTTTCTTGTCTAGGCTCAGATTTTCAAGAAGTCTTCAAGCAAGAAGTGTGATTCTCCACAGAAGAAGGAAACTTCTGTGCTGAAGCTCTGCCTGACGTTCCCCAGAGCAGAGGACATCTTTTCCTCAACACTCCATATCCCCCAAACGGCTCTGTCTTCAATTAACCGACAGTGGAGCGAGAAAAGTCATGGCTTTGCAACTTCAAGTGTTAACAATGAGTTTTTAAAGAAAAAAAGTGCACTTCGTGGTGTTTCAACAGGACATGAGGCCCTAAATGAATTCTCACTGATGAGAGTTCACCTTCCTGCTTTGCTACTCTTTTCCTTTTCTTCCCTCTTCCCCTCCCCAGTGCCATAAAAGTGAACTTATAAAAGCTTTAGATAACTCTGAATAGCCAAAGTAGAGGCTTACTTTAAGGTGACAGTCAGCATTCTCACTGCATCATGGGACAGGGCAGTGAGAGTGAAAGGGCTTATCTGAGGAATACTTCAGTGGCATTTGTACTTGGAAATGGGAACACTGCCACCTAAGAGTTCCCAAAGTTTGGGAACTCAGGAAACTGTCTGAGCTTCCAACCCCTGTCCTATGTGTGACAACTGTTCCAGACTACATACTGCAGATCAGAAGGATACTTGCATCGCAAAAAGAACTCCGCCAACACCCACACCCCCAAAAAACCCCACACAGCTAGTCACCTGGAAAACTCATCTAAGGATTAGCTGAAGGTCTACTCACATTCAAAAGGCACCACACTCAGGAAGTCTGCTGCCATATTGGCAGCTCTGACTAGGATTTAGAGGACACTTCTTCAAAAAGCCACCACCAACAACAATACATTTGCACAGAGACACAGAGAAAGCTCCTACTTGACTACCTCACCACTTATGATGTTGGAAGCAAAGTATTATTTTTCCCAGAGGCTCAGATTTATATGGCACGTAGGCTTAGTAAATTAGCCCTTAAGCTCTTAAAGCATTTCCCCTAAAAGTTTGACTAGAAGTCCATGTTCATCCTCATAGCTCTGAGGAGCATAATTTTTACATGAAACAGTTTCTGCAGTTCTGAGGCCAAAGCTATGTGTATTTTGCTCCCACATAAGCAACCTCAATTCTGTACAAACAACAAAAAGCACGGGAAGGGTTCAGTCAGTAAGGGTTCAATAGGCGGAACACTTGTGGTTAAATCCCAAAGGAAAGCATTACCAATTGTTTCATAAATTAAGTTTTAGAAATGAAAGGGGAAGGGCTTTTACTTGACATGCTCACCATGATGAAAAATGTAAATACAAATTGGTTTAAATGGGAAACTGTTCTCTAAGCTGGAGGCAGGGCTTATAAATTACTTAGAATCATGGCTCACCCTTGGCAAGTTAAGTTTCAGGGATCAGAGGGGAATTTTGCCACTATATAAGCAAGGGTAATTTTAAAGTAGTTCTTCAGTCATAGTAATTCACAACCAAAGGGAAAAATAATGACTGCAAGCTTCTGATTATTTAAGATGAAAAGACCTTATTTTAATACCCCGATCTGACACTCCTTTCCAAAAATGAGAATCAGAGTCAAGAAAGCAGCTCCAACACCTACCCGCACATAGCGTAGAGTATTGGCAAGACCCATGCAAAACTTACATGGTAACTTACATGGTGGCGGGGACAAGCCATTTCGATTTAAAGTGCCCCCCATTAATACAAAGTTCATCTCCTCAGCAGAACATTGAAAGACTTCAACATATCTGTCCTTCATAGTCTTCTTATGACACTTCTGCGCAGCCAGAAAAGCTCGGTCTGCAGATTTCATCTGAATAAAAGCATCTCCCGATGGACGTCCCTATAAACAAGGCAGACAAAAAGAAATGTTTCTGGAGCTCCCACAAAATAACAGCATAGCAATAATTTGTGTTGTTAAAAGCAGCCTCTCCAGCCATAAATATATTCATCTCCAAAGTCAAGTATAGTCAGTCATCCCAAGCACCCATGAGCATGTTTAATTAAGCTCTCCTTCCTGAAGTTTCCCTCTATTTCTGGGGAATCCTAGTCTGCCCACTGCATCAGGTGGGCATTCTTCCAGCTTGGGCTAACTTGATTGTATTTATTTTCATGTTTCAATTTAACTACATTGTAACTTGAGCCACTTTACTTCAATGTTTAAATTTAAAAAAAGGACACCTATAGGAGAGACTACAATTCAGGGGTACTCAGGTAAGAGCAAGCTTCAAAGCACCTATTTAGTAAGAATGCAGAATTGGAAGAACTAATCCACATGTAGTATCTGATTTTTAAAATTCAAGGATAAACAGTCAACTGCTAAATATTAAGGTTTTTTTAAAATTTAGTTTAAGGTGAATATGGGCTGGGATGTTCAAGAAGGGTGGTAGTCTAAGGCTTTGTATGAGCTTGTAGAGAAAAAAATTGCATCCTTATACACAGCTATAAATGAGTGGGATAAACAGCTGGCAGCAATAATTTCATCCACATGCAGCTGTTGACTTGAAGTAGCCAAAACTAGAGGTCTTAAGCCTGCTCTAACTTAAGTTCTGGGCCTGTTCCTCTAGTTTCAAAAAACAACTTTGTCACCATCGAAACCAGGAATGGTGGGAGTGGGAGAGCATGCAGAAAGATAAAAATCTAGTAGTCAGGCAAAGGCAGTATCTGGGAAAAAAAAGCTGAGAGCTTTGGGCAGGGGTGGCAGACAGCCCTCAGGACTATGTACACATACACCAATTTCTTCCTCCAGGTTCTTTTGTTACTGCTGGCAAGGGCTGATACTACTGTAAACCATTACTTGTGGCTTTAACAACTGGATCTTTTCTTAACCTCTCTCAGCTCTGCACACTCCTTATCGTTTTTCTGCCTTGGCTAGGTCAAGTGCTAACAGACACAGGAATTTCTTTAGACAGAGAGATACTGGAATAACTGCAGTCCCTTCTCCCTCCCCACACCCCCTGCTCCAGGACAAGGAAGTATTTTGTAGTTTCATTTTAGGCTTAGTGTCAACTCAAACAACTTTGGAAGAACCATTTTTATTCCACTCAGGGCATCTCCATAGAGTTAGAAGAACTGCTGTCCCCTCCCCCTAAAGTCACAAGACTATGCAGATAAGGCAATCACAACAATGTACAGTCCTTTGTCTAAAGTTCTGGTAGAAACTGCTTCTGGAAAACAATAGCAAAGATGCGACTGTTTATACATGTCAATGAGCTGTTAATCTTGGTGCTTAGCTGTGATTGTTTAAAGAGAGCAACCACACAGTTCAGGAAACCTGAAACTTCAGCAGCTGACTTATGCCATAGGAAATCCTGTCTCTACAAGGCCACAGTTGCATTTGTCCTCAAATATACCTGAGGCACACTGTTCAGCAAAGCAGGGGCAAACCACTCCTTTGAGAGCTAACAGTGCCCACACTTTTGTTTTGAAGATACTCCTCACCTGGTACAAGAGGAGTTATGCATGCTGTTGAGCAGGACTCCTACCGTGCAGGGTCACAGCTGCTGCTCTGGGAGCACAAACCCCTCCAAGACTGTGGCTTAGCTTTAGGCACAGGGGTCTCAGTAACAGACACCACTCTACAGCAAACACAGCAGCTGGCATAGCAAGATCCAAATAGGCCAACACATCTAATGGCAGTACACTTTTAGAGGAGTGCTGGAGGACAATTAATGCCGTTAGAGTCCATCTCAAAGGTGCTTCCCTATTGATTTTGTCAGGGCTCTGTTCGCATGCACAGGCAGTTGGCACAGAGTGGCTGGAAAAGTGGAGCCTACCAACCTGGTGATTCAGTACCATATGAACCCCATGGGTCCGAATATCTGTAGAAAACTCTCCCAGGAACTCTAGGATGTCCTCTATAGTAGCAGCATAGGGAAGACCACGCAAACGTATGCAGTCTCTGACATTAGTGGGAGGCACAAATTGTTGAGGTAATACTGGCAGAATAGGAGGTGTCGGGAGAGGAATGAGAGGCATGGAAGAGTACCTGTTCAGCACCTGTGCAAAACAGAAAAACAGAGAGGTTACAGAAAGCCTCCTTACTCATTCCTCAACTCAGAGGAACTGAACGTAACACCAATGCCATCCATTTTCACTCTGGGCAATATCTTAAGAAACAAGTGAGATAGATTTTGGGTTTAAACCACAACAGCAGTGCTTAGAATTCAGATGTTTTAAAGTAAATCTTTGGATCTTTTTTTCTTGAAAAACATCATTTTGTTTTTGAGAATTTACTTACGCTATGAAACTTTTAGAAGAAGTCTTACAACATGAAGCCTGTATTCCTACAACATTTTTATTGTGAAAATATCTCAAAGTATTCCACCAAAGTCATGGCAACACTTCTACCTAAAATATACCCTCCACAAATCTTTAGGAGAGTCTGGGAACTAGAAGCATATTTCATTACCAAACAGCCCTGACTCGAGATGCAATAGTCCATCAAGTAACATAGGTGGTGTCACAGAGTCACAGTATCTGTAACAGTCACACTTGGAGATTTCTTGTTACTAATTTCAACAGTAAAAACCCTGCCTGGTCAAGAGTCCACTGAATATTCAATCACTACCCCTTAACTTTCTCTGTGGAAGATTAAGATTCATTTACATTTATACAGCTATCAGAAGGTTTTGCTAAACAAAAACATACAAGAGCACTTGAGAAAAATACAACGACAAGAGTGAGTGTTGCAGCTATGCCTGCTCATCATTAGTGTCACCCTTCAAACAAGGCACTGAAATCTCTACATATCTGCAGAAACAGAGCAGCACCATTGCTTGGTTTCAATGACATGGCTATTGGTTGGCCATAATTTGCATCATAGATGAGACCTTTTGAATCATGTTTAGAAGTTAGTGACCTCAACTGAAGCTCTCTAAATCTCTGGAGACACAAACAATCCTCTCAGCCCTACTCCTAGCATAAAGCACTGGACCCACAAACCTTCTCCTGTAACTGCTGTTTGCAAGGCTGTTGGAAGCCAACATCCCAAAAGTTTGTATATACATGATTGAGAACATCTGTATACCATAAAATCTTACATTTAGAGGGAGCAAAGCCTCATGGATATTCAGACAGTACCCTTTCCAGCAAGAGTCAAGAGTGATGGAAGAGAAAAGAAGCTGTCAAGCCATGGTCCAGCAGTATTTGCTTCCACGATGGTATGCCAGAGTTTGAATTACAAGAAGCAGCCAAGGTTTGTAAGCTTTACACCAAGCTTCTGCTGCAGTGCTCCTGAAGAGTTCAATGTACCTTTTCCCCAGCAAGTTCTTATGCTTTTTCAGTGCATTTTGTGCATATTCCTCACAAGCAAACAACACAAAGGCATCCCCTGTTGGCCTGCTGTCAGGGTAGGTGACAAACAGGACTCCCTCCTTTCCTCCTGTTACAGGGCAGTGCTGGCCAAAGAACGTCAGCACTTCTTCTGTTGTTACGTTGAAAGGAAGACCTCGCATCCTGACAATCACTTGGTTTTCTTTTGACAAGAACTGTGCAACCTCATTGGAAGTGCCTTTAACAAAAAAGAAGTAAAGAAGCACTTAAATCTAGGCAGCCACATAAAATCATGAGCAAGTCTGGCATTGCTACCTCCTCCCCACAGAGTTTTTGAGCAGGTAGAGCAACTTTTGCATTCAAAAGTCAGAAAGGATGTCCCTCTTTAATGGGACGTGTCCTATACAATATTTCTAGTTTATCAAATTCCAATAAAGTTACTCCATAATTTGGAAGAGATTCACCTCTATTCAAAGGGAAAAGAGAAAGTACTTCCAGTGTTCAGAGCCCAAGGAAAGCAGTCTGTGAATCTCTTGAGTAAGTAGTACCTTTGCTACTGTGCACCTCACCTTTCCAACTTATGAATACCTTCAGCATGCTCTGAAGCCATAATATATAGTAACCAAGTACCCAGACAACTGTGCTGGGAAAGAAAGTTGGAAGAGCATGTTGAGGACAGCTCAGGAATTTCATTCAATCCTGATAAAACTGCCCAAGTCCACCAATTCTACTTCCAGTATCTCTAGGAGAAGACCACTGATGCCAATACTTATAACACTACCCTAACCAACTACCCAAGCTAGCTGCTAACCAACATCACATCTTAATGAGTTCCTTTCACTTGCAGCTAGCTCATTCTGCAAAGAGGTTTGGTTGTGCCAGACACACACCACTTTTCCTCCAATGTCAGCATACAGTGTCTTTTCTTTATACAATATCTTTACTTTGAATGGTATAACTATTACCAAGCCTATCAATTAGCTATTTGACAGCTTAATAGCCTCTCCCACTCTAAAACCTCAACCTCAGATATCCAGTTAGTCATTTATAATCCCCAAAACAAATCTTTCAGAAACCAACAAGGACTGTAAGGTAGTGTTATGGACCCATAACACCTTGTTGGGTCTTAACTCAAATTCTGTATGCTTGCAGCCATACAGGGGAAGAAAAGAGACCATGGGAGAGATTGTAGAGCAAGTTTTGCAGACTTTCAACTCAAGGCTGTGAATGTTTCAGTATTCCCCTTAAATAAGCACTATTCCTAAATTCACCCTTTAGTTTGAGGCAAAGATTTGACTTGAAGAAAATCAGTTCCTTGTCATTTACACTGTGATATCTGTTTGCTTCTACATGCAAGTCTCCACAGCAACAGCAGTCATTGTTTTGAAAATCTACTCTGGTTTTGTTTTTCAGCAGTCAGTAACATTTAGGTCCCTTCAGTTAAGAAGATGACCTAACAAATTAAGTTCATATGCAAGATCACCTAGCCTGATCAAATCCTAATTTGATAGGCTGCTTGAAAATGGCAAGAATGTGGAAGACAAAAGATGGACAGATAACTCATGGAACAGCTTGGACTGCTGCCAGCAGAGTACATACTAATCAACACACTGGCCAACTACTTGTTCAAAGAAAGAAAATGAAAGGCCATATACAACAGGAGCAGTTTACAACCAAGAGTTAGAGATGCTGATGGAACAAACCCTCACTTCTCACCCCCTAAAATTACCTCCTGCGATTTTAAGGAAGTCTTCACCTGTTGCCTTGTATACCTAAGGAAAGCAAAGAGAATAAGTGATTGGCATGCATTTGAACTCCTGGCGAGAAGAGGACTTCAAAGCCAGTGTCACTCACCTCAATGTATCGATTCCCCATGTGATGCTTGTGCCTTTGTAGTGCCAGATCTCTATGCTCTTCGCTTACGAACCTCACAAGAGCCTCCCCATTCCTCCTACCTTGGGCATTGAGACAGAGCGCAGCACCTCCCCTACAAGATTTAAAATCAAAAGAGATAAAACTCCATGACTGACGCAGATGAAGCATTACAAATGTAGAGGTAAATTCTTAGCTACTAACTTGGCAATATTCAGGCCTTTGAAGAATCTTGCTATGTCCTGGTCAGATGACTGCCACGGCAATCCTCTTGCTCGGATAACAGCATTGTCATCCACAAGTTCCATCTTGCTGCTGCAGGCACAGAAAGGAGGAAGAATACAGAGACATCTGACTGTAGTATACACCACACACTACCCTCCCTACTTTTCACCTGTGCTCCAGGAACAAGCTTCTGTTCCTGCTCTGTGCCTGCTGGATGGCACTGTCAGGGCAGTGAGGGCTAAGTGCCGCCACCATCCAAAGCCACACCACCATCCAAAGCCACTGCATGTGTTCCTCCTCAGGGAACGTCTGCTCTGTTAAGCTGCCATTTTCCCAGCTCCCCTTCCCTACTTCACTGCATTTGCTTCTTGAGCTCTCATCTCTTCATGTTCACAATTTAGTGCTCACTCCTGACATACCAGTGGTTTGTGCTTCTCCATTGTCCGAACAGGGTTACTGGTATAAAATTAAGCACTTGCTATTCTGATCTTAGCTAGGTGGAAATTGAAGCAGAGCAGGTAGATGTAACTGAGGTTAGTGCTTATTATTTGTACTGTGACAGTGTGTAAGAGCCAGTCACAAGCCAAGACCAAATCTGTTCAGGGTTACGTGCAGCACACAGAGGACTCCTGCCCAAAGGTTTAGCCTTAACATTGCTTGTTCAGGCCATCACTGTGCTACTAGAGACTAATATAGCTACAGGCTACATTGGCTGCTTAGCATGGGAATAGCTCAGCCACAGAAAGCCAGGTTTAATTGGTCATTACCACAGACTCTTTTGTTCTCTTACTTCTTAGAAGTGCCATGTACAACAAAATGTTCACAGCTACCCAAGGCTGCCTTTCTGGCTATCGGAAGTACAGGTTTTTGCACAGAAGAGACTATGTGATGGATGAAGCAGATGAAGTGTTGTTCAGCAGCAGAGGACTCCCTCGTGCAAAAGGTCTGTGGTATGCTTTGTTATAGGAGGGTCATGTTTTTGCTCATTAATTTCTCAGGTGGCCTTTCTGTAGGTGCCTGTCCCAAACTGTTCCCCTCACCTCCTAATTCCATACTTCTCACTATCACAAGATGGGAATCCTCCACCTCATCCCAGGATTTTGTTAGTGAAAGGGGAAAAGCTTAGAACAATGCTCAAACATAACCCCTAAGCTAATCTCACAGGATACTTTCTGCCAATATTGTTGCATTCTTTTCTTGCTTCTTTTGGCTCAGAAATGCTGGCATCATGTACCATTATGACAGTTCCTTAACCTGTAAGAGGAAGCAATCATTCATGCAAGATGGGAACATAAATAAGGTCAGTTTAACACCAGTCTCTTGTGATAACTGCAGGAGTATCCAGCAAACCACCAAGAAATATCTGTAGCTGTACATAGAAAAGCATGATTACATTTCAAACCAACCAAACAAAACAGTCATCAAAAGCAGATAAAGCTTTATGCTTAAAACCATATTTGGGAAGAAAGCAATCATCATATCTTAAGCAATTTACTGGTAGCATAGTATCTTTGGCAGAGTATCTTTATGGAAATGTTTCTTCCCTGTAAAAAATAAATCATGATGTATATTCAATAACTGTGAAGCAAATTGCAGGAAGAATATAAGAGTTAGTACCAATAGGGTTACTTCTGCAAATGGCTTACATTCTTTGTTAATAGCACAGCTCACTTAACAGCCCTTATAAGCATTTATTAGCAGAACCCAGAACTACCAAGAGCTAACAGGCAACACAGAAGCCTAGCAAGAAAACTGTCTTGTATCTGACCATGGAATATCTGTTCCCTTTCCCACTTAAAGCATCTAATCAATTCCCAAAGCAGTGGCAAGATAAAAATAGTGGTAACAGCTATTTACGAATTAGGAATACAGAAAAGTCCAGTTTATCTAAGCAGTACCTTTAAAAAAAGCGGGGGGGGGGGGGGGGGGGGGGGGGGGCGGAGAAAG